ATATATATATATATATATATATAATTGAATGCTCTTGCCAATAGACATTAAGATCTGTCATCAATTAAGAATATCAATGTGCAGACGTTGTCACCTCTGATGACTAAGATGGAATGCCTCGTTTCCAGTAAGGTCTCCGGTTCTCTACACTCACCATACGAAACACAACAGACTTGACGCTAGTATTCTAATATATATAATAATAATATTTACTGATTTTGCAATTTTAATAGCTTAACCAAAAGACAATAAAAAGAACTTATACTCTCTTTAAGTGTTACTTTATACGTAAGTATATCCTCTACTCAATACCACCCTGTGGGTGTCAAAAGACGACAGAGCGAAACAAGCTAGAAGGTGGGCAGCAGCCTCTACCTTATAACAACAAGAAAACTGTGGTTGCCAATCCGCCTGCCAAATCCGGCTACTATGGCAAATATGGCTTAATATGTTCAACAGTGAACTTTTGATAGTCTGTTATAACTGATAAATAATAGTCTGTAATGACTGCGGAAAACATTTATTAACAATCTTTTAAAAACAACAGCCTAATTTTGTTAGATTACTTGCTATCATTTACTTGATTGCATCGCGACCTGTATATTTTTGAGAACCGGAGACCCATTTTACTGGAAAAGAGGCATTCCATCTTAGTCCTCACGGGTGACAACGCATCTGCATTTTGATTCGCAAACGAGGATAAATGAAGATGTCTATGGCCACAGCAACCACTTACCATCAGGTGAACTGTGTGCCCGTTTGTCACTCCATCCTATAAAAATAAATATAAAAATCTGCAGTCACTAGTAACGCCACCTATTGACGAATAGGTAAAGTCATAAACATTTTCATAGTAATCTTTCAATCTTAACTAATCTATACTTCTCTCAATATAGTCTATAATAACAAATTTAGCAGTTAAATTTTACACAAACAATATTTTTTTTATATATTATATAAGTGACAAATGAACTGACAGTCGATCTGATGGTAAGTAGCATAAGTACGACTACAGAAGCGTTGACACCCTGAAGACTAAGATGGATAGTCTCACAGCCATGTAACTGGCTTTCTAACCCCTTGAGACCTATTTAGTACCCTAAAAAGGTAATTTATTGTTTGTTCAAAAAAATATAATGACAGCTAATGCTTTTTCATTCTTAAGCGATGATAGATGGTAGATGTTTATGAGCTATAGCATCCACTTACCATCAGATAGACTTTGTGCCTATTAAAAAAATGGAATAAACGTCGATCAATTTAGGATCCTTTGTCGTTTCGCCGTGTTGTGAGAATTGTATCAATTGATTATAAAGGCAGGTGTTTGTCTTTCAAATAAATGAGCGGTCAAACTCTGGCCAACCCTTTGGCGATGTGGTGCTACGATAAATAGTCACAATTAATTGGAATAGTTTAACAAGTACAGGTGTTTGTTAGAAAGTGGGGATCGAATAACTGTACAAATCCACAACCAGCATAATTGCTCATTGGATATAGTAGATGTTGAGTATTGATTGTAGACTATATAATATATATAGGTGGTAGACCAATGTGGCAGCTATATTATGATTGTAGCACGAATGGGTCCGCTCGACTGGAGAAATACCAGCGTAGAATAGCAGCTTCTCGCTGCTGTGTTTCGTATGGTGAGTGTAGAGAACCGGAGACCCTTTTTACTAGAAAAGAGGTATTCCACCTTAGTCCTCACGGGTGACAACGCGTATGCTTTTTAATTCATAATCGAGTGTAGATATAGATGCCTATAGATCACAGCAACCACTTACGATCAGGTGGACTGTGTGTTTGTTTGTCATCATCATCCTATAAAAAAAATGTTAAAAATAAAGACAATTCGAGCGCTTGTTAAACAATGTAAATAACTGTTCAGAATTCCTTCAAAATTCTGTTCAAACGGATTACTGTTGTTCCGTCTACTTATTTTTTATCGAGCCATGTTATATAAAAGTTTTAAAGAAAAGTAATTTAATTTTTACACGACATAAAGTAACGAAATATCGCAAGATTGCTCACAAAAATCAGAGCAATGCGTGTAACATTTTTGTAACAACAGATATTATATTTGTAAATTTTCAATTCGCCAAACACAAAAAATGTCTTGGAGGAGTGACAACACGCACGATGTTGGCCAACATGGCGGCCAGCACGCAACGAGTTGCGATATCAGTTGGGGAAAAAAATGGTCGCTATTAAGTAGTAGATTTGTCTCGGCTGCCAAGAGCGCGGCCTTCAGTGAATTTTTCGCAAAATGGTCAATAAAGAGCGATTGCGCGGGTCATTGGCCCGAGACCATTCGTGGCGCAATGTTAAGAAAAAATTACAAGACTCTGGATTGCATTTTGAACGTGACTATGCCGTTAGTAAAAAAAATAAAGGGCGATCACTTTATTTTCCAAGTTCATGATTAGCGAATTTAATACGGTTGTTAATTTATAATTAAAAACAATCTTATTGTTCGATTGTCGCTATTGGAGTCGTTTCTTTAAAATATTGAACTTTACGTAAAGCCATACTGCAGCTATATTATGGTTGTCGCAGGAATGGGTCGACTCGACCGGGGAAGAAACACGCTCTTACAGAATGCCAGCGTAAAATTCGTATGGTGAGTGTAGAGAACCGAAGACCCTTTTTACTGGAAACGAAACACTACATCTTCATCCTCAGAGGTGACAACGTACCTGCTTTTCGATTCCTAATCTAGGATAGATGTAGGTAGACTGTGTGCTCGTCTGTGACCCTTATTCTAAAAAATATACTTTTAATTTGGGCTGTAGTTCGAGAATGACCATTATTATGTAAACAGTAAGGTTATATATCTTTTAGGATGAAAATTATAACTGTCAACGAGGCATTCTATCTTAACGCAAAGAGATGACACTCGTGTGCTTATTTTAAAAAAGAAAGGGTAATCAATAACCACATAGTCAACTTGATGGTAAGTGGATGCTGCGGACAGTAGACATGATACGAGTAAGAATAATGCGTTCACCGTGTAGTGGCGGTGTAAGAGAATTTACTCGTCCCGTAAATGTTGTAAGAGGCGACAGCGTCAAACAAATCAGGAGGTGGGCAGCAGTATATTTATAATAACCAACCAAGAGTGGCAACTATGGCAAGATCCGCCTTCCTGTGGGGGAGGCCTATGTTAAGCAGTGAACTTTTATAGGCTGTAATTGATGGATAAATGAGACACGATATTAGCATTAGAATATTGTCGTATTATTATAAGAAATCGTTATATCTATACTAATAAATCAAATTGTAGTGTCTGTTTGTAAAATCAAAATAACGGCTTTTTACTAAATGCATATGAAAGTATTTGCGGTACTTATAACAAAAAAATAATTTTTAAAACTTTTGTCTGTCTGTCTGCTTGTTTTTTCCGGCTAATCTCCGAAACGGCTGATGTTATAAGGAGTAACTAAGGCCACTTTTATTTAAGTAAAAGATTTAGGGTTACGCGCAAAAAAAAAAGTCCATGAAATCCAATCGTAACGCGGGTGAAGTCACGGGGAACAGTTACCATTAATATATATTAGTTTAAGAACCAAACAAACGAATATGTATAAAGAAACACACGCGTGGTATAGATATATAACATATTTAACACATCCTGATTTCGTTATTATTTTGCAGTGGTTTGTTACAAAGAACACGGTCAGCTAGCTCGAATAACTCGGTTAATTGTCCGTGTACATACATTAAGCGGATTGCTGACTGCATCGCGCATAATGCCATCCGTCGCTAGTTCATCGCTAGTTTCCTATTTTATAGGCTAACAATACGGTACGGACCTTCAATACAATTCGGAAGACGTATCCCAGTTCAAATTAATAATGTCCCCCTAAGATCACGCCCAGGACCAAAAGCTTTATATGCTTTCCGACGGACGTAGGTGAAACACCGCCAAATCCCTGACTTCGAGCCGCTTAAGAGAATTTGTTAAAAGAAAAATCCAATAACTGATTTTTTCCAGACTCGAGGTTGGAAACGAAACCACATGATCCACAGTCGCTATCGTAGTCACAAGAAGTCTAGTGTCGTTGAACAGTTGAATTCGGCAATCAAATTAACATAAAGATGGTATAATTTTAGGCTCATTTAGAGTTTATTTTCGTACCGTTTTGCAGGGCATTGAAAAGAGGTCTCCTATCAGTGGAAACTAGTATAGACAGTCACTATCGTGGCAACACCGATAGCTAGTCAAGCGGAGCGGAGCGCGCGTAGGCAAAATATAAACGATTATTTAGCACCAATATCTTGATTTCGTACTACATCTAAATTTCAAAACAACGTTTCACAGACGGTACGACAGTTCGTTGTCTCTGAGGCGTGTAGTCCTTCACTTTGCGTCATTGGTTGAACGGTTTCAGTTAAACCCAATGGTAAATAATGCTTATAGCGTTTAGTCTACCTTTTGTACCTATGATATATATCGAATAAAAGTATAAATATTTCACACAGTACAAGGACAGTATTGGGACGAAAATGTCACTGCTGCATTTCTTCGGAACATAAATTTATTTATCCTATTTCACAGTATACGTAGCAATTGTCAGCTCTTGGCGAGTATATTTACTGTCTCCCCCATACGCTATATAAATTTTTTTAAAATGACTTTATAAGAGATAACATTTTGCTATTTATAATGCATTTTATTCCAAACGTTGTATCAGTTTATCTTGTATATAAAAAAAGTTAATTCATCACTACATGTATTTTAAACATGATTTAAATAAAGCGCAAATCTTAAGCCCTCACAAAAACTTGTGAACCTTTAAACTATATCTTAGGAATATTTTCTTACATGTAGTCTAGTTATAGCATCGCATTGGTTAATATAACTGAAGTGATGTTATAACTTTGTAATAAATAACTGTTGAACATTTGTTTCTTTTTACAGATAGCGCGGCAGGGTGGCGGCGTCCAAGTATGGCGGTGGGGGGGTGTCTCTTGGCTCAGGAGTCACGGTGAGGCGCGGGATGAAGTGCGGGGCGGTCAATGGAGGCGGGCCGGGCGACGACCTGCTGCTCGGCGCCTGCTGGCTCGACCCCAAGCTGGACGCGGCCTCCCCGCCCCCCACATGCCACGAGCTGCTCGACTCGCTCCTCGCCCCACCACCTCTCGCCGAACTCAAACCTCTACCGCCCTTCACCGGTTACACCGGACACCTGTCTATCAACGGCATCTCTGGCCACCACTACCATGCAATCGCGCAACGTCTTCCCGAAGAGAACAACAATTACCCCACGCAGAGCGGCTACGGTACTGACCACGATGTTGTTTCCTCATCGACTTGTGCCGCCGACGCTGAGCCACCCGATTTAGAAGACGTAAAGCCTTATGCATTAGACGCAACAGACACAAAACCTTTTTCTGCAGAATCCACGGCGTCAGGCGCAGCCGACAGCTGCGCGCAATCATGTTCGCCCCCCGCTAAACTTTTTGATGAGGGCCACAAACAGGACATGTATGATATCAGTTCAATAGAAGACATAGCAGCCATCATTGGTTCTGCTATCGCGGACACAACGGTACCTTCACAACCTGAGGACCCAGAAAGAAACGATTCTCGAGACAGCTGGATGGACATCGACGCTTGGATAGCCGGTGCTTGCAGCCAGCATGGAGACAAAATCGTGCCTCAAAGCCTTGACGAGTTTGGTCTTCCCAATTCTCCGCCACCATCACAAAACAGTCATCATTCCGGGCTCGACTTTCCATGTAAACCGAGCCAAGAGTTCACAAAGAGCCAGGAGTTCTTGCAAAAGAATCTTGGACAAGCAGGTTCAACCCTTCAGACATTGCTAACGCACGGCTACATGCCGCTTCTTCAAAATCGACTTCAAAATGGCCCACCCGTTAAACAAGAGGCACCTAGCTCTACCAGTTACGGCATGGATGTCATATCGACTTCCTCTCCACCTGGTAATGCAGTATCCACGACGGACGGTGTCAGTGGCTTACTTAATGGTAGATACGCGCAGCACTACGCGCTAGGTCTAAAGTCAGATGGCCTTTGTAGTCCAGAGAGACTGTTGGGATACCCACATGCCCATACGACGACAGTGACTCCAACAAACAAGAGTAAAAGGAGTAGAGCGAAGGCGAAACAAGCAAACAACGCTGGCAACATCCACGGAAGCTCCTTGGCGTTCCCTTCAGCGACTGCAGCAGAGCTAAGCGGCTTGCTGGGTAAGGAGAAGCCAGTACATCGCTGCGGCATATGCAACAGAGGATTCCTCAACAAGTCCAATATAAAAGTGCACCTTCGCACGCATACTGGAGAAAAGCCGTTCAGATGCGACGTCTGCGCAAAGGCGTTCCGTCAAAAGGCGCATCTCATCAAGCATCAGCAGATCCACAAACGGATCGGGCGTGACTAGCACAAGAGACTGTTGGTTCAGCTCCGACACCAGCTCAAACTGAAGCATTTTAATAGATCATAGTTGTGTGCGTGAATGTCGTGAGTGGACGTGTCCATGTGTGCGTAAAATCTCAGTCTACACGGAATCTCAAATTAGACTAGTTTTATAAATGGAACACTTCATTTATTTCATAGCTTAAGTAAGGTTGAGTTTACGTATTTCATATCCCTGTAGTATAACTCACCTCCTAAGGCAAGTGCAATGTTAACTAGTTTTAAGATATCTTCAGATTTATTATTGTGTAGATAATATTGTTTATAATTTGTTACGTACTGAAGGTTGTTTGATAGGTTTCTCGTATTTTTATCCATTCCAGTTGATTTAAGCAGTCTCCATAAGTTTACTGAACCTATATAAAATTATTCAGTGATTTTGCACATGAATAATTTTTAATGAAGTTACAATACATTCAATAAATTATGGTTGCTCTTTTCAAAATAGTGCTTTGTGGGACAATTAATATCCGATTTTTTTTGTATTTATTAACCTAATCATGTGAGTATTCGATTGACTTTGATTACCTTTTTATAGTCAAAAATTGATGGGATTTATTTTAAGTTTGTATTGCTTTACGTAAAATAAGGTTTAATATGAAGGAAAGACAAAGCAAACGAGGCTAAATACAAAATAATTTAGCGATATAATGTCGTATAATTATACTCATTTATTTTTAACTTTAGAATATTTTTCTTTTAAAAGTATTACTTTTTAAAATTGATTTCTCGCACAAATTTAAAACAATTGAAATTTCTATGTCACAAATATGCTTATTTATAAATTACTTGTCCGCCTTCGAATTTGAATATTATATAACATTTTTTATGTTTTTGAGGCACACTTGCCTTACCAAGTTGACAAACACAACGAAGCACAAAATTAACATTCATAGTTATGAATCCCTTTTTCCTAACGCAATAGACAAACAAAATTATGAAAACGGTGCTAACATGGTTCGACTATGGTTTTGGGTCTTAGTCCAAGATATATAAATGCAAATTACTGATTGTTTATCTTTCTGATGAATTCTTTACATCAAGAGAAGCCGAAGCGGAACCAAACGAGTCGCATGCTCGTTCCTAAAAAAAATCATAAAGACAATATATAGCTAATATTTTTTTAAAGTAATGACTTCCTAAGGCTATCAATTGTTACAGACCTTTAAAATTATATAAGTAGGACACAATAGAGCATAAATGCGGGAATATATATTTAAAATTACAATTCAAGAAGCGCACCTCATTACGTCGAATGTGTTGTACGGAGTAAGGTCCTTCGCGATACGCGCACGCGAGCGCCGGAACTCTTCGTCCGGGAAACGGACAAAAAACTCAGAGAATCCAATCCAATGTTCTAATAACAACTATCCGTTGTTACGCAACCCGTAATATTCACCGATTTATGCCGTCCATACCATTTTAAATACAATAATTAAAAATAATTTGACCATTTTAAATTACTAGAAAATATACAAGCTTATTTGTATTTTTTTTATCTTAATTTACGTAACACAACAATGTTAATTACTTTTATGTTATTACATGTGAGTGGTTATATAGATAATGATTATTATGCACTAACTGATTTGCCTTTGCAAGAAAAAGATCTTTATTTTTTTATAAAGTTTTCCATTATCTATAGTACGTGGTAGAGCCACGCTGCAGCTATATTATGATTGTAGCACGAATGGGTCGGCTCGACCGGGGTGGGACCACGCCCTCACAGAATATAAGCGTAAAATAGCAGAAGCGAAGACCCCTTTTACTGGTAACGAGGCATTCCATCTTTCTCTTCAGGGGTAACAACGCATCTGCATTTTAATGCTGATTTAAATAAATTAAAGTGAAAACTAATATTGATAAAGATTTTATAATATATCATTTGCTATTTAAAGAACTTAGCGGACTTGTACTTGTATAAATTATATGTATTCTACATTCAAAATCTTTCACAATTTTTTTTAAATAACAAATATTTTTATAATTAAACATACAGTCTATTTACCTCCCACGGCTAGGCAAAAACCTACTGTTCATTGTGTAAAAGTTATTGATTCTGAGAGAATTTTTATGAAAAAATTATTAAGAAAGAGATTTCTGCACTGACTTCATTAAAAACTGACGAAAAAATTAATACTTGTTGTCAATAAATTAATTTGTAAATAAACAGGTCAAGTCCTGACCTGTTCATTTCTAAACAACATATGAAACTAAAAATTACAAAAATTTATTTTACATAAAAACAAATGTAAAAGTATAGAGTTAGTTATTTTGAAACTACTTGTCCCGAGGTAATGATATATAGGTAAGTTAATCCCAATACAGACTGCATCGAATTTTGTTAAGAACAAACTAACATTCCACTGTCAATCTAACTTTCTTCTCTTCTATGATAATAAGAACAAGCGTTTATAGCGCTAGTCTGCAAATGAAGTGACTCTCTACCTTTTTCGGTAACTAGGAAGTATGTGCGCTGTGGGATAATCGCGCGTCTGTGAAACGCTCCGCGGAGTGTCAAAAGTGATAGAAAATATGTTGTCACCCTATTATATACTAGACGCGACCAAAACCAGTGCATTTGTTCGCTTTAGATAAAAATTAAGTTAATGAAATAAGGTATTTTTTCACGTCATGATTTTTTATAAACGTAATTTATTATAACAAGATTATTTTAATAAGTATATCTACCAAATACGTTAAGATATCTAAAAGTAGTGTTTCACACGCGGCGTTTCCTACAACATTTGCAGAACTTAATGAATGTACCTTTTACTAGTTTTAAGACGTCTAGAACATAAGTATTTATTGATAATTGTAATTTTGTAATTATTATTAATAAAACCTTGCGCGGACTTCTAGCCGTTATAATTCGAGTGAGATTGATACACTGTCGGTTGATTTTGATTGGTCCGATGCTCTCAATGTGAATAATTTAATAAAAATCACTCGAAAGTGTAGCACAATAACATCCGTAGCGGTAACGAATTATATTGTAAGGACAAATGTTATATTTTCAAGAGGTTTTCCAATATTAAGTAAATTTTTGTAAATTAATGTAAAAATAAACGGAGATTTTTTGTTAATGTAGTTTTTTTTTTGTAAACTTCTAAGTGTTCATGTAATTGAAGTATGAATGTGTTGTCATTAATCAGTAATTGAGATCAGAGACATCTTTTGGCGAAACTTTGAAGCTTTTTGTAATTAAAAATTACAATACTTTTTTTAACCTTCCCAGGTAATAGCGTATGCATAGACTGTTCTTTTCTTCATTTTGTCTCATTGCTATCGTTAAGAGGCGACTATAAGGTTTGTCACAAAATCCGATAGATGGCGGTTTAACCTACTCGTAAACGCCAGGAGTGGAATACCCTGACTGGGAATTCAAAGCAGAAAAAAAAGGTATGAAACGTTTGCAACTGTAATAGTTAATCCGCCTGCAAAGCCTGACAATAAAGACAAATCGCCTCTACAACCAGAGTGGCCCCGGCCCATGCCCATGTCCACTACATTGACGGGCTGATGAAAAAAAAATTATGCTCAGAAGATGTATAATTTTCAAATTTATCAAGCAGTCCTGAACAGTCTTCATTTGATAAGTAAATACATAAACGACTAATTATTGTTCCAAGGTGTAAATTGACTCACTCCCTTAACTAGCTGCCAATTAATCTTCACAGTCTCAAGAAGAATCAATTCTTAGCAAACACGACTTGTGGTGAGAGCCGTGGTAGTTCAGGGGCTTAGCGCTCGCTGTAAATTTCACAGTATGCGAGCAAACCGGGTTCGATTCCCGCCCGCACCAATGAAATTGTTAATTGCAATTTTAAGTGCTAATTTAACACATGCTCGTGTGACATCGTTTTAAGGAAACCTGCATTTCTGAGAAATAAAAAACATAAAATTTCATAGACACGTGCAGTCCGCCACTACTCATTGGGGCATCGCGGCGGACACTTTTTTGCCCTAAAACCCTTTCAGAATATATCGCAATAATCAAAACCTGTCATGAAGACATAATATAATACTTAAAAATCGCAGATATATACAATATATTTAAACATTTAAGATGTTTGTCATAATAGTATTTCGAATAGTCTATGTGTCTAAATTAATATTAGATTAATATTACAAAATTTCTATTATTACATTCGAACCCAGGACCTACATCTTACTCCATTATTTGTCCGATGACAAAACTGACAGCTTTCTTCAATTAGAATAGGCTCAAGCTTACACAAAAAAGCCTGAGTCGCAATAGTGTTCAGACCGTATAAAAGAATACAATTTCCGAGTTCTTAATTAAAAGAGCCTCATTTCTAAAAATAAACATCTGGGACACTTTAGACATCGGGGCAAACAAAGGTGTGAGCGAATAAAGTGAAAGACACAAAGTTCACACACTGCGTCGTTCCCGAGAGCAACGGAAGAAAGTCGGATGTGAAAATCGTCATAATGCACACACGAAAGACAAATTGCCTTTTTGCAAGTACAGCGGAGGGCGCGCAAGAGAAAACAGCAAACACACACGCGAGTGCGTAGCTAAATCACACGCGAAATGTCAACTGGCACTCACACAAGCGCAGTGCTGTAAGTACGGTCAGTAAAAAATTAATTATAATTAAGTATTTTTTTAACTTTGTCACTCAAAACTAAAACTATAAACTATTAAGCTGCATTTTTCTGATGAAAACGCATTAATAATAAAAAACTAAGATTGACCTACCCGTTAAGAACGCTAAATATAGCAATCCATAAGGGATTGCTACATTTAATAAAAAAGCTAATCAATTTAATTAATATTTCAATTCAGACTATAATTTTTATTAATCGAATATATTATATTTTGATAGCCATAAATGTTAATAAATGTTACTGTATAAAAATTTGCATAATAATAGCAAAACAGGCTGATCTGTTTTATAATCTGTAATGATGTGTTTGTGTGTAATCTGTTTTATAGCA